TATTCACGCAGAAGGAAGTTGTTTTTCTTGGATTTACATTCAACTCGTTTTTTACAACGTCCCGTTTGATGCGGCTCTTGGATAGGTTGAAAATATCCAAGTCAGCGTAATACTTAATTATTCTTTTGGACAATAAAACGGCATAAAGTAGATTTTTTTGCGTTATTTGTATCATAATATATTATTTTATCTTTCATATTTTATTTATTTATATAAGGGTATCAAACGCTGTGTAGTGGCGGTGTAAAAATGTCCACCACCCTATATTATGGCTTGGGTTTCGTAAGAGGCGGCAGATGGAACAAGCTGAAACAAGAATGGGTAGCAGCATGTTCTTGATAACAACCTAAAATAAAAAAATCTGCCATTGTCAATTCGCCTACCAAGCGTGGCAGCTATGGCAATACCCCCTCCTTGAGGCAATCTGTGGGGGAGGTCTATCTTCAGCTGTGGGCTTTTGATAAGCTGTACTAAATGAACAAATGAAAGAGTAACAAACGAGCGCACGGTCTACCTGATAACAAGAGAATGTTGTGGCCCATAGACATTTACATCTATCCTAGATTAAGAAACATGATGTAGATCTGTTGTGTTGTTGCCTCGAACTAATCTCGCACCTGTAAAATGTCTCATTATCTCTAAAGGGGCCTCCGGTTCTCATCGCTCGTTATACGACACAGCAGCATTAAGCTGCAGTTACACTGGTATACTATGCGAGTGCTAGAATAATTCACTACCTTTACCACGTAAAAAATAAGTTAAGCATTCACTTTAACCGCTTTTATGTGGGACGTGATGTTATAGTTATAGAACAAATCGTTCGGCTCGGCCGGGGTAGGACTACGCATTCACAAAATACCAGCGTAAAATAGCAGCTTAATGTTGCAGTGTTTCGTATGGTGAATGAGAACCGGAGAACCTTTTTACTGAAAAAGAGGCATTCCATCTTACAATTCGTTCTCAGGGATGACAACGCATCTGTATTTTGATTTTTAATCGAGGATAGATGTAGATGTCTATGGACCTCAGCACCTACTTACCGTCAGGTGGACTGTGTCTTTATGTACACATTAGCGATGATTGATTTATGGTTTTTTCTAAAATGAAAGAATGAAATGTAGAATAGAATTATGTAAATCATCTCGTATTTTAGTATTAGATAATAAAAATAAAATGTTAATGTTATTTAAAAAAAAACATAATCTCCCTTTCACTGATCCTGCTCCACAGTAATAATAATGTTTTTTTTTTATAGAAGAGGGGGCAAGCGAGCATGCGGCTCACCTGGTGGTAAGTGGCTACCGCCGCCCATGAAAAACCGTAAAACCAGGGGAATTGCAGATGCGTTGCCGGCCTCCAGACTGAATTTTGATTACGGCGGCCAGTTTCAACGTAGACTCTCCATCTGGGCAGGACAGGATTTACACCCCGAAAAGTGAAATGGACTAACCTGTTTTCTATTATCCTTGAAACGCCTCCGGTCGGAGGTTATGGCTGTTATTCTCGCTATCTTCTTCACAATGGTGGTTATAAACCTCAGATATGTTTTTATGCAGATGCGTTGTCACCCGTGAGGAATAAGATGGAATGCCTCTTTTCCAGTGAAAAGGGTCTCCGGTTCTCTACACTCACCATACGAAACACGGCAGTGTTAAGCTGCTACTTTACGCTGGTATTCTGTGAGAGCGTGGTCCTTCCCCTGTCGAGTCGACCCATTCGTGCTACAACTATACTACTAATATAGCTTGCAGCATGACTCTACCACGTATCAAAATATGTTCTGTATACTAGCACAAGATCTTCCGAAGAAACATGATTATATATTTTAATTAAAGCGCGTGACTGCACACACATTCCGAGCGCGCCCCGAAATGACCGACAGTCTTTAGTCGAATGCCAGATGTCGCTAGTAAAGTTGCAGCCTATCTACGTCCCACTGCTGGGCACAGACCTCCTCTCATTTCTGAGAGGGTTTTAGGGCAAGGAAATGTCCGCCGCGCTGCCCCAATGCGTGTTGGCGAACTTCACATGTCTTCGAAATTTTTTTTCTTATTTCTCAGACATGCAGGTTTCCTCACGATGTTTTCCTTCACCGCCGAGCACGTGGTAAATCAGCACTTAAAATTGTCGGATTGTGGATCGAACCCGGGTTGCTCGAGTTACAGCGAGCGCTAACCATCGGAGCTACCACGGGCACGGCTCTTATGTCTCTAGTGCCCACAGACAATCCGAAGTAAATTGTAATGACCGAACAATTATAGTGCCCGAGCGTATACGCAAGCAAGCTTTCCGAAGTACCGGGGTGAAATACCGCGAATTTTCTGACTCCGGGCTTAGGGTGTTACCACACCAATCGATCGATGGTGGAATGGATTAGTCATCGTCGATCGATAGTTTCTACCACATCGATCGATCGATGGTAGAATAGATTAATCGATGTCGATCAAGTTGCTTGATTATTCGAGAACACGCCCCGCTCCACCGACCCCATTTTGAAAGATACTGACGATGAGCCCACAACCACATCGATTAATTTTCGATCGACGTCGATCGATGATTGAACAACGTTATAGAGAACAGTATCCGATATACAGACCAATATACGATCGATCGACTGGTGTGGTAACACCCTTACTGAGAATACCTTGACTGAAAAGCCAAAAAACAGATTATGGCTCAACTATTAAACCAATGTGGCAGTCAACTCTACAGTAGCTCACACATACTCCACAGAAGGATTTTCTCTCGTAACGTGGAGGTGTTGTACATGCATACATTGCGCAAGAACAAAACATTCAGACGCTTAAAAATTATTTCTAGGCAAAACAATTACTATAATTAGTATAGAAACATTTTTGTTCTCTGCGGGATTCCAACTCGTGGGCCCTCACCACCGCAACCAAATGTTCAAACACTGCGCTGCCAAACCGTCAAATTATAGTATTCATTTTTTTAACTCCAATAATGTAGGTAAAAAAGTAGACACGCCTTTTTCCTTATCCTGACATAATGATACAGTATCACGGTGGACAAACGGAATCGCACCCAAAAACTACCAGAACGACGGCGGCTTCAACGACCTAAAAATAATTAAAAATTAATTAAATAAATAAATTATCGCATTTAGTTTTAACTCCTTAAATGTGTCATTTAATGTGTAGTGTTTGAGTAAATATAAGGAATCATTATAAAAATAATTAAATTCAGGGCTAAGACATAGTGTACAGAAGAATAAAAGCCTTCTGAGAAAAATAAAGTTCAGAATAAGAACTTATTAAATTATTTTTATTAATGTTTATCACCTGATGGATATTGTGGATGCTGTGGCCCATAGATATCTACATTTATCCTCAATCAAGAATGAAAATGCAGATGCGTTGTCTCACCTGTGGACAAAAATGGAATGCCTTGTTTCCAGTAATAGGGGTCTCGGATTCTTTACACTTACCATACGAAAAACAGCAGCATTAACCTGCTATTTTCCCTCACTGGTCGAGCCGATGCATTCATGCAACAACCATAATATAGCTGCATCGGGACTCTACCAAGTCGTAATTCATCGGTTCACATCGGTTTTTATTTTTTATTAGTAGTTTATTTTGTCACATTTCTGAGTAGAAAAACAAATATCACAAGCCCAAGCTAACAACAAACCTATTTTGTTGATTTTTTATAGGTTAAGGGTGACAAACGAGCACACAGTCCACCTGATGGTAAACGAATGCTGTGGCCCATAGACATCTATATCTATCCTCGATTACAAACCAACATACAGATGTGTTGTCACCCCTGCAGACTGAGATGGAATACCTCGTTTAAGGGTTATTAGATGACCACGCTTTTGTTTTTAGGTAGGTACCTACCTGTTAAGACGACAAACGATGGTTTTTTTTTTCAAAATTCAAATAGGACCATCCCTGAAGATTTAATCTATACAATAAAAAAAGAATTATGAACATCGATTATCGATGACAAAGGTTTCGGATAACATACGAAAGAAAAAAAAGAATATACAGCCTATTTGCAAACCTCCTTCTAATTTGTATCGACTCAAAAGGATATTCGCAGCAGGAGATTCATTACTTCTTTAGAATAATTTTTTAAATAAACATAATGATGAACAATAGAATAAGAATGTTTTTATTTAATATATTGATTATAAACATTTCATGTCTGAAGTTCGCCGTACCAAGGCTAAAGCCGACTACGAAATTTCCAGTACAATAATTTATTAGACGGTAAACACACAATATCTACGTCTGACAAATAAAAAGTATATCTTTCGAAATTACCAAGAGAAGGCTTGTACCCAGCTGTGGGATGTATTTAGGCTGTAACTTTACTTTTAAATATTGTGAAGTCAAATCTTTAAGTACTGGCCGTATGTCAGTATAACACAGAAATAAAAATATATCTATGTTCAGTTGTTGGATACGGATAAATTAAAAAAAAAACATTAAATCCAGTTTAATGCATATTTACATTATTTATTTAAACAATCGAATCATTTATTATAAAGTATTTGCCTACTTAGTATTTATTTATACCATACAAACATAACCTTAAGATATTGCCAATTTTTACAATTAATTATTGTTCGGGTTATAGATGAATGTTCAATAATAATTTAAAATTTCAGTTAAAACAGTTTATTAAACAACAGAAAAAAACTAGGTAAAATGTTATTGTTACATATGTTTCAATATGTTATGCATGGACGTATTATGTTAATTAGTTCGCGTCCGTCGCGAATCGTGAATACGATAATATATGTCTATATGTGAACTATATGTTTGACGATTGCTTTGCGTAAAATGTTAACGCCAAAAGTACGGTTGGACCACAGTTGAACCGTACATATAATTATTTCTGTTGATTTTTACATAGCAAATTTGACAGGTGTGTTATCACCTTATCTGTGATTCAAGATTTCCACCACCACGAGTCCAACGCGTTGTTGTCGGGTGGCGGTGGCGCCTCGCCAGCCAGTCCAGTCCAGTACCTCGCTGTGCCTTTCCCACGACGCGCGTGCTTTACTACCACACAATCAAGTATTACGACTGTCGAAAACGATATTTTTCCGTGAATCATTTGATAAAAATAAGATTTATGTAAACTTATCTGTTCTCAATGATTCATAGTATTTTTTTTTAGGCACTAGCATATCGGTCTTTCAGCCTTGACAGATTTCGCGCGCAAAGTTTTGTTTGTAAACAAACACGCTTTTGTGTTGTGCGGTTTTGAGAGCTGTTTCGGTGTTGGTGCAATGTGAATGTGTTTGAGTGATGGCGAGGTCTCCGAGGATGATTTCCGCCCACAGGCGGAGCAGAAGCCGGTCCAGAGAGCTGACACGGTTGCGCACACAACTGAACGGAAAAGGTAAACTAACACACATTTTACATTTTAGTTTACATTCGTAAACTTTACTTTAATCAGGCGCAGCTACCATAGGGCTAGGCAGGGCAGTGCCCCAGGGTCCCCAAGCTCAAGGGGTTCTTTATTTTTTACTAGCATCTAAAATTATACCACGGGATACTTTTATCGGGATAAAGGCCTTAGGTCGAGGTCTATCAGTGTGCAAAATTTCATCCAAAGCCATCCATTAGCTATCGTGAAAAGTTTATTACTTCAAATAAACTTTCACATTTTTAACATTATTAGGAAGAACGATTAAATATTATCTGCTGCATCACACATAATACTTAGTAGTAAACAGCTTTGCTTTATGTCTTGCAGTGGGCGATATGGAATTGAAGATGAAGTAGTTTTGCGACTTTAAAGTATTTAGTTTAGTTTAAATAGGGCCCCAATCTTGCCCCGGGGCCCTTAGTGACATAGCTACTCCACTGACTTTAATTACATTTTATGAACTTTATATGTTTATTTATCAAAACCGTTTTATTAGTTTAGCGTGTCGGAATAAATCCTGCTTAAATTATATTCCCTACAGAAATCCTTTGTTTTCCGGTTTTCTGATAAATGGATAAAAATAAAAGTTAAATCTCTACCTGTCACGGTAACAAAACAATTATTTTATCCACGTACGGTTGTATGTTTGTACTTACTATATAAAACATGCAATTGATAACGCTGGAAACAATTCCGCGTAAGAAATTATCTTGCATTCCGCTATACTTAAATACCAAACTATATAATATACATGTAGAAATGTATTTCCGAAAAAAATAATTTCAAAATATGAACTAGTTTAATGAAATAAGAAGTGTTTATTAGCATCATTAAAAATTGATATGAAAAAATTCCTATGAATTATACGAAATACATAGTTTAATTTATGCTTAAAATGCATTAAACAGTATTAAGTGATATGTCTTAACTACGCTGCAAAATAATAAATAACAACCATACTTTTGTCACAGAATTACACAAGTAGTTTGCTCAAAATTATAAATATATTTATAGCACAGATTCTGTTACGAAATTCTTTAACTTACTCGTGTGTAAAGCCTAGTTCAAGCAAGGTTCATGTACTGTCTTGCCTGTAGAAAAACTAGTTCCTTCGCAGCGGTCGACGTAGGTATAGTTTTATTTTTTACAAACACAGTTGTTACAATATCCTTGTGCTAATGTGTATACATCCTAGAGATCCACATTTATATTTGATTAATAATCAAAAAATTTATAAGATGGAATGCCTCGTTTTCAGTAAAAAGGGTATTCGGTTCTCTACACTAACCATACGAAACACAGCAGCATTAAGCTGCTATTTTATGCTGATATGTTGTGAAGCGTGGTCCTACCCGGGTAGAAGCGAGCCAGTCGTGCTACAAACATAATATGGCTGCAGCTTGGCACTACCACGTATAAAACATGCCTTCCTAAAAAAATGTACATGGTAGAGACAGTGTAAGTATGCAGTTGTATGATGGTTGCAGCACGTATGAGTTAGCACAGAATATCAACCAGCGTAAAACTGCTGCTGCGTTTGATTTGAGGATTGTCTATCCACCTAAGACTATAGACAATCTATGGGGGAGGCCGATGTTCAGCTATGGACTTTAATAGGCTGTAACGTTGATGGCGAAAGTACATCGGATTCTATTAACATAAATTGGAACGTAACAATAATAATAAATTCATAGTCCTGTGCATTGCATAGGTAATCAGAGTTAATTGAATTGCACAGAGTTAATTGCAAGCGCGAGATAAGAAGCTGCAAACTGTCTGCTCTCGATTGCTCGCTTCACCTACTTGATGTCTCAAGGATCCTGTTTATTTATAGATCTCTTTGTAAATCGATCAACGCTAAAATTACCATCAGACCGATCTCTTGTGTTTGCTAAAATAGCACAAGGATGAATCTCTTTGAGACTTTTATAAAAAAAAAAACAGGCGACCCACCGCGGCCTCTCCTCGACAGGCTTTATTAAAGTTATATTAAGCCCCATCTCATATAAAAAAGTGGCGTTATTTATATTTAAGATAATCAGAAATAATTTATATTATCAATGTATGTTTTTTCTCATCATCAAGTTTATCGGATAAAATATATTTAGGCTATAGGCTATCCTAGATCCCTCCTAGCATTGATCACTCATTGTTCGTAAAATTTCATCACAATCGGTTCAGGCATTTCAAAGATTCAGCCCGAACAGACAGACCTACAACATAAGTTTTAAAAATGGTTATTTATATCACAACTCCCTGAGCTTAATAGAAGTCAGTTATTCCAATGTTACAGACAGACACTTCAGTTTTATTTATATTTTTTTTTTATAGGATAAGGGTGACAAACGAGCACACAGTCCACTTGATGGTAAGTGGTTGCTGCGGCCCATAGACATCTACATCTTTAGAATTAGAATAAAATGCCTCATTTCCAGTGAAAAGGGCCTCCGGCCACCTGCACTCACCAAGCGAAACGCAGAGGTACACCTCTACTTCACGCTGGTTTTCTCTGAGGTCGTGGTACCACCCCGGTTAGAGCCGGCCCATCCGTGCGACAGCAAAAGCTGCCGCGTGGCTCTACCACTGTTTAAATGTTTATGTATAGACTATAGTCCACCTGATGGTATGTGGCCGCTGCACCATGGGTGCAAGGATTCCTTTTTTGTCTAGGATTTCGTGTAGGTATCCCCCTTTTATTATACACTTTTCTGTCATCAAATACATTCACTATTGTGTTCCGGTCGGAAGAATATAGAGAGTTATTAAAATAATTACAGGCTTTAAGCCTTAAGCCTGGGTGTTCCTGTTTTCGTCCGTTTTAAAATGGGTTTTTGATAACCAAATTATTACATTTAGAATCTGAAAAAGAAAATATTTTAGATACATTTTTTCTCCTTACTACTCGGTCAATACACGATCCAATACAATTTTCCCGATAGAAAATAATTACCGAATTACTTTCGATTTGCTGTTTTTTACTTTATATTTGTTTATAACTTTAAAACAAAATTTTTGTGATTATTTTCTAAGAATCACGATCATATGTGCGGCCCGACTCGATAGTTGCGATGACCGTTTGTAAATACCTAATATGCTTGCAACACCCAGGCTTAACAGTATTTCATGCCGGCACATCGCTTGCAACTTTACAAAGCGCAAGTTCGGCCCCACATGAAATACTGTTCTCATCTCTGGGCCGGGGCACCCCAGTGCCAGTTCCTTACACTTGACCGCATCCAGCGCAGAGCGGTTCGAATCGTCGACGACCGAGTTCTTTCTGATCGGCTCGATACACTGGCACTGCGTAGGGATGTTGCATCTCTTTGCGTATTTTATCGCATCTATCACGGGGAGTGCTCTGAGGAATTGTTCGGACTAATTCCAGCCGCTCAATTTCACCATCGCACATCGCGACAAAACTCGCGTTACCATCCATACCATCTGAATGATTGGCGATCCACCACTGTGCGATTTAGAATAAGTTTTCTCCCTCGCACAACTTCCTTGTGGAATCAATTACCACCAGCGAATTTTCCGGACCGATACGACTTAGGAACCTTCAAGAAAAGAGCTTACACCTTCCTAAAAGGCCGGCAACGCATCTGCAATTCCCCTGGTGTTGCGGTTGTTCATGGGTGGCGGTAGTCACTTACCATCAGGTGAGCCGCATGCTCGTTTGCCCCCTCTTCTATAAAAAAAAAAACATTGTATACTTCAAATAAAGATATCTCCAGACCGAATTTCGGTCTTGGTGGCCAGCCTCAACGACTAGCCATATGCGCAGGAGGATTATAGTGCACGATTGTATGGGCGTGCTTGCGCACTGGCTATGCGCACTCTGTCTATATGTACTCTCTGTTCCCTCACTCTCAAAGTGCGATGGGACGGTATTCCGATACGACCGGAGAAAGATCAGGTGCAAAACCTGCTTTACGTGCAGTCCGAGGCACTGATGTGAAACACCGATAACGACCTGATTCCGGGCTGCTGCTTAGAACTTCTTGACAATAAAAACACAGTAGAAAGAAAGTAAGGATCCGGCTTATACCCGTCGAGCGCTTGCCGGACAAATTTCACCGGTACGTGTGAAAGCTAAAGTACAACGTACGGCTATACACTTCGTCGTCGGGTACCCGGTGACCGGGGCGTGTGAAGAGGCACTTAAACGTTGAAACTAAAATATCAATTAGTTTTAGTTAGAAGGAAATGGAGAACCAATCTCTCCAATTAACTTCACGATACTCGTATGCGTGCTTGTAATAATTTCCGCTTAATTTTATACTAGCTATTGTAATACAGTGGGATATTTGAACATTGTATTAAGATGTTAATATTGGATTTTGTAGGTTTAAATTATATTTTCCGCTAGATCAACTTGTGTCGTCAAATATTGCATCGTAGGCCCTGCTACTTACAAAATGCTTGGTAGCGGCTGTGGTAGTGTTTGGTGGTTAACGTACCAAAACGTCTTAGTTGTTTGTAAAATTAATATATCAACTTTTTCAGTATATAGATTCTGAAGTCGTTACTTCAATACTTCGTAACACTATGTCTTAGTTTTCGAAGTCGGTTTTTACTTTATTTAGCCGACTTAAAAAAGAAAGTTCTCAATTCAACTGCATTTTGTTTGTTACTACTACGAATTCTGAACTAATTTTAATGATTATTATTTGTTAAATAGGTTACAATTCAGGGGAGGTCGTTTGTAATTCGGGAAAACATCCATCCCTAAAAGTGGGGAAAAGTTATAATATGGGGTAATGAATATGGAGGGTTCTTACGAAAAGCCCCTACCTATCCCCCCTTGCGGAAACAGTTTATGAGTAATATTTTTTTTAAATCATAACCTCACCTTTTTACACAGGAATATTGACAGTTTCTTCTGCAACGGCTTTGGCGTTGTGAGAAGTTCAGCCCCTGCCCACCGTAGCAAATCACAGGCACCCATATACCAGCCGCTACGGCTCGCA